TCCAGCTGTAATAGTACATTTTACTGAAAATTTACATTTTGAATAGGCCTACATTTCTTAATTATAAAAATAGCAGGCCCTTAACAGAGAAGAAAGGACTAATTGTCAGGGCTAGAGATATAAACCTATAGTGAATTCTTATATTCTTTGATTTGGAAGAAGTTATTGATTTCATTTTTACTCTGATCATCTTGATTTGTTATCATTAGATCCCAAAAATACATAGTAAAAATGATTTTTAAGACATTTTAACACATAAAGTCATATATACCATGAATAATTGCAAATTCTAACTTAGCTTCCAAAAGTACTGTGGCTTTCTGCTAATAATCATTAGAATGGCAGTCACAATCCTAGTATTTTTTTTAGCTGATCCAAATACACTTCCCAAACATAAATTGTTTATGGGGTATTAATCATTAATTAAGTGTTTGTTTCAATGTTTTCCCAAAGTTCTATTTTTTAAAAAAAGATTTTATTTATTTACTCATAAGAGACAGACACAGAGAGACAGACAGAGACATAGGCAGAGGGAGAAACCAGCTTCTCACAGGGAGCCTGATGTGGGACTCTGTCCTGTCTACAGGGATCACACCCTGAGCTGAAGGCAGACGCTCAACCACTGAGCCACCCAGACGTCCCCCAAATTATTATTAAAAATTAAAAATTTATGAAAATGAGTAATGCCTGGGAGGCTCAGTGGTTGAGTGTTACACCTTTGGCTCAGGGCATGGTCCCAGGGTCCCAGGATTGAGTCCCACATTGGGCTCCCCTAAAGGAGCCTGCTTCTCCCTCTGCCTGTGTCTCTGCCTATCTCTGTGTGTCTCTCATGAATAAATAAATAAAATCTTTTTTTAAAAAATTAGGAAAGTAGCATATGTTCATTTCAAAAACTCGACAGAGAAGTATATAAAACAATGTGAACACCAGTCTTAATTACCACAAATACTTCCCTGTCTTCCATCCAGCTGCAGCTTTCTTGCCCTCAAGAGATAATCATTTCTTTAGTATGTTAGTATGTATCTTTTGAGACCTTACAATAACTCTATATTTCTGATTTTCAACAGTTCATTTACAATGGTATTTATTTCTTTTGGAGATCCCTACACTGGGTTGGTAGAGACTTTATCATTATTGACTTGTCAGCACTGCCATCAATGGGGAGTACATATAAGGATGAATCAGACCTGTACCTCAGGTGGCTTTCAGTATAGTGGGGGAGAGATATATATAGTGATAACTGTAATACAAGATGAAAAAATGTGAGAGAGGAACAGATGGAGTGCTATGGGATTCATGGGGTAATACTTACCTTTGACTGGCCAAGAGCTGATACTCATTCCATATCCTGAAAGACAAGCTTTGTGTTGTAGGGAGGCAAAAAGCAGTTATACTAGCAGGAGAAGGACACAGAGATTTCCAGGAGTTTATAAGGTTATTCTGTTTTCCTAGACTATATCATCCATATATGGTAGTAGCAACAGATAAAGATCAAAGATAGTTTAGGGGAGAACTCTGAATATCTCTATAATAAACCTTTAAAATTTTTTAACAGAATAGTGCCCATGACTAGAGAGATATACACTAGGAATATTAAGTAGATATTGGAGGGGGTGGATGGGGTGTCACTGACTTTGCTGTTAATTTGGAAGAAGTGTTGCTATAATGAGGTATAATGGCCCTAGAGCTGCTGCTGAAATAGGACCTGTAGGTCTTAACAACAGCCATATTCCATCACATCTGAAAAGGCCTTGATTGAAGACATACCTTTATTTTATGTACCAGTGAGGGACAAAAAAAAAACAACACACAAAACACTTAATTTTCAGGCACCACTAATTTTAATATATATCCTGATTTTAGAGATTATAATACTAAAGAAATGTACATCATAAAATCAGTGAAACAGTGTAATTGCATAGGTACAGGGAAAAGATGGGGCATGCAAGAAAAACAGGAGAGAAGAGAGCTGTTAAAGAAGGGAAGATGAGATCAGTTACAAGTAGAGAAGTAGACCTTGAGGAGAGTGCATCTTCCTCAACCAGGAGATGAAGAAATGAATGAGCAATGACTCAGAGAAGTTGAGACATTGAGAAGCTAAAAACATCAAGCAAACTAACCTCTGTCTTGGTAAAAGAGGAGGCAAGGTAATCTGTAAAAAGAATGACTGATGGGTATGAGGGCTCAGGACGTAAGAGTGAAAAAGTTTCAGGTAAGTGGGTGTGAAAGATGGAGTATTAAAAGCAGTTAGAAAGGACAGAAAGAGTTCCCATCCAAAATGAGGAGCCCAGTTAAGGTTGAAAAGCACAGATTTATAAAGAAACCAACTGGCCCTATTTTATGACTTTGTCCAGGAACACTTGGTACCCTGAGAGAAGGATGGAAGAGAACATGTGGAAGGTGCTTTCTGCAGGGTAGGAGATTGGCTGGACAGGTATGGTGGAAGGACAGAGAAGCTAAATAAGTTTCTCTAAAGGAATATTGTTGATTTGGCTCACCATGAAGTTCAGGCTAAGAATGAAAGGTGAGGCCAGAAGAATAGATAAACAGATTTTTTTTTAAGTTGGGGGGAGCATTTTAAAGGGATTCAAGATTATAAAGAAGTCGAAGAAAATATTATTTTGAAGAGGAGGAGTAGGTAAGTAGAAAGTTGATTGGGAGAATTTCAGAATTAAGATCATGGAGGTAGAATTTAGAAGGTTGAGTCTTGAAGATGTGATCTTTCTAAAACACAGATAGGTGTATATCTATCTCCCATGTGGCTTGAAAATCCAGTTTCAAGGTGACATCTTTATTACTGACAAGAACAGACAAGACTTATCACAAGCTGGCCCCATCCTATGTTTCCAGGCTAATATCGCCTCATTTCTTCCTGTGAAATGCATATTCTAACCATATTCTAACCACACTGAATTTTCTGTGGCCAGAATCCTCAGGCTTTTATCTACCTTTGGCCTTTGCACATGCTGTTCCCCTTGCATGAAATGCTCTTCCTTTTCTTTGCCTTGCAAACTCCTGCCCATTTTCAAGACCCAACTCAAGATGGCACTTCTCTGCCACATCATTCTGGGTCCCTGCGAACAACACCAAGTTTTTATCACTTTTATCTGTGCTCCAGCAGTACTCTCTTCAGACATCTTAGGGAATTTTACCACAAGCATATAGATTTATATGTCTCTCTCTTCAATAGATTGTAAACTCCTTGAAGTCAGAAACTATCTAATTCTCTGTACCCACAGTGCAAGAATGCAGTGTTAGGTACTTAATATCTTCTTTTATTGTTTTTGTTGAATTTTAAATAAATGAGCTAATACAGTGCTTCTCAAACAATGTGCATTTGAATCACCTAGAAATCTTGTAAAATTTAGATTATGATTCAGTCTGAGGTGGGGTCTGGGATTCTACCTTTCTAACAAGCCCCCAGTTGATGCCGGTGCTGTAGGCTCATGAAACTAATTATAAGTGTCTTTGCCCAAGTAAATAGCACAAGTGGAGTAAAGGTCAGTAGGAATGTGGAACTAGAGCAGTTATGGGGACAGTCAATTGAACACTCCATATGAACACTAGACCCCTAAAAATGGTAACAGAAAATCATGTAGGAAGAGATGCTTATATTGTGGAATCAAGCAGGAGACCACTGTGGAGGATGGTGGGTGACCGGCCTGGTTATGATCTAGTTTTAGGACCTAATGTTTTAGCAAAGGAAAGGCTTTCCAGTGATAGCAGCTGCTGTGTTGGGACTGCAGCAAAGGATGTGCTCCATGGAGATGGTGGGGCAGGACAGTGGGGGCAGGGGTGGTAGTGTCAGAAATCCAGATTTGGGGGATTCACAAGAAAGGTTTGCAGCCTCCAGTTTTTTATTTTTTATTCCTGGTGGAATGGCATTTACACCATCACAGACCCAGAGGGTAAGAGAAAAGAAAAGCTGCATTCTAAGAGAAGGGAAGCCCCTGAAGAAACGGGAGGTCTAGAATCTGACAAGGGATCATTTCCTGATCCATAAGCATATAGGTTCAAAGCATGAAGATCTTTTTCTTCAAATCATAGTTGACAGAAAAAGTAGCCCTAATAAACACTCTGTTCCCACATAGAGTCTCGTAGGTCTGATAATGCTAAGGAGGAGTTCAGTAACTCTGATTTCTTGTAAATACTATTGTATAGAATGTGTGCTTTTTTAACATATGGAAAAAGGCAAAAATATTTATATCTCCTCCCACTAATCCCCTTCCCCCACAATGAAGTAATTGATTTTTACAGCCTGATGAGTACTCTTCCAGCTTTTATCCATGAGATTTGTGAACACACAGATAGGAATTTTTCAAATTTCATAATGGTATTTTCCATGCACATTATTCTGCAAATTGTTTTTCTCACTTAGGAATGTTGTAAACATCCCTCCAGGTCAATGGATAGAGCTCTAACTTATTTTTTTTCCTAGTCATTTTTAAATAGCTGTGTATAAATATAGATGTCCCGTGATTTGTTCTGCCATTCTCTCATTGATGCACAATTTGGTCATTTAAAACTTTTGCCGCTACAAAATATGACACACCAAAAAAAAAAAAAAAGTCCTATTGTGACCAGTGCCTCATAACAGAACTCTGTGATCTCAACCACCTATATGTGTATCACAAGCAACTTTTATATCAAGGACATCTTCCAGTGAAGTAAAGCAGTAACTAGGCCTGCACTAATATAGTAGCCACTAGTCACATTTAGCAATTTAAATTTAAATTTGCTAAAATTAAATCAAAAAATTCATTTCCTCAGTCACATCAGCCTCATTTCAACTGCTCAGCAACCACATGTGAGTAGTGGCTCCCCTTCTGGAAAGTAAAGGCCAGACCATTTCCATCCTTACAGAGAATTCCATTGGACGGCCTGGCCTAGACACTCATGTTACATCCTAAAGAAGAACATATTTTTCAGTGGGTTAGTGTTTTAAAGAGAGCACATTTTTTAAAGTATAAACTTTGTGTCTTAATTGGTTGCCTCTGCAGTTACTTCAACGAGAATCAATACCCAGATGAAGCAAAGAGAGAAGAAATTGCCAATGCTTGCAATGCGGTTATACAGAAGCCAGGTGAGGAGCAAGCTGCCATTTTCCTCAGTGGTGGAGCTCTCAGCTTCAGATCATCATTTGGGATGAAAAATCTTCTTTTACTCGTTCTGTTTGGATACCTTTAGCTCCATCCTCATCACCTTCTTGTCTAGTCACTGCCCTGTCCTGTTCAAGCAGTACTTCTTAGAGATGTAATTATGGTACTCCAGATCAAATGTTCACATGAAAAGTTTCCAGGGACTGGCCCTGCTTTGAGATACTAGACCTTGAATTTATATTTTTAAAGACTACATAGGTTTCTTTCTCCAAAAATACAGCATAACTATGTCAATTCCAAAATAATTTTTAAGTTTAGAATATTTAAGGAAGGCTTGTAAATGAAAAGATTTAGTTTTTTTTTAACAAGTGTTTTATAATTCTGTATTTCTGTTTGAAGAAAGAATTCTTATTGGAGTTGGCATCTTTTTCCTTCCCACATTGGGATGACTTCTGCATATAGCTAGGAAAAATTTAGGATAGTTCCATCCTGAAGTCCTGTTGTTCCTATGCAAGTTAGCCGAGCCACTTAAACACACATGACTTTTCTTCCATGTGTTAAAATATTATTCCACATTTCACAGTTTTTGTTGCCAGAAACCATTCTCAGTCAAGATGATCAGTTGATCATCATTTGGCCAGTTAATTTGATTGGCTTAAAGGTTATATACAAAAGTATCAATATTTTATCATAATTAAACTGTAATTTATTCTTCCTTATCCAGAAGCCAGACTTCTAGCAATCTAAGCCCTGCAGACATTACCTCCAATGACACCTATACCCTTACTTCACACTAGCCAAAGTCCACCCCTGAAGCTGTGCAGGAACTCAAAACCTCCCTGGAAAACACTTCATCCTATATCATCAATGTCTTGCCTGGTTTCTGGCTTTTCTACCCACTGTGGATTAAAACCTTAAAACAAAAGGAAAATGGAGGAGAGAAAGGTACAGATGGGTTCTTGTTGGTCAGCATGGTGGTAATCCATAAGAAGTCACATTTGACAGAAAAGAAGATAATAAATCTAAAATGCAATCTGAATTGGGCTATGCGTCTAGCATAGTTACAGTAATGGATGGTCAGAGTTCCTTTAGTCTTCAAGAAAACATGGATAATAATGTTTATGTAAGGCCTTAAGGATGTAAATAAACTTGAGCTACCTGGAAACTTGATGAAGATTAACATACTCATCTACAATGGTGCTAATGAAATGAAGCTTCCATGGACTATCCAATGACCTTTGAACCCTGGCAGCCTGACTTTGTGGAATTCGATAATTTTGTGTTTAGTATTGGAATTCTTTAGTATTGTGTGGCTTTCTGAAATATTTTATGTTATTATTTGCTATTTTTGTATTTAGTTTTTATTCATTCAATAATAATTTCAGTATATACAGAGTACTAATAAATAAAAAACAACCCACCTCCCCCTATATCTGTTATTCTGGCAATAAATGCAATCAAAAGAACTTTTCAAAAAGAAAAGTATTATTCCTTAAAACTGGTCTCAGATGCAGACTATCTGAATTTTATTGCATATATTCACAGGCAAAAAACTGTCTGATCTGGAACGAGTTACCTCCCTCAAAGTATATAATTGGTTTGCTAACAGACGGAAGGAGATCAAGAGGAGAGCCAATATTGGTAATGTATCAGAGAGGCTGCTTTTACTTTTGAAGCAGTCATAGACATTGTGTTTGAGAGCACTGTACCTTCAGTTTAGAACTGCAGCTCTTAATGATCCTAACTTTTAAGCCTAACAAGCCTTACTTTTTTCTTTGTATTTTTAAGAGTATTATTTGCACTATTTGTATTATACTAATAATGACATTGTTCTCAGTGTTGTACAACCTAGAATTAGACATGGCCCCTGACAACGTGACTCCTGTACTGCATATTAAAGATACTTGCTAAGGTCTTGAGCAAGGGAATGAGACCCTGAGCTGCCTTGTTGTTATTGGACTGTGACTTAGATATTAAGAAACATATGCTTAATAGAATTGGAATGAAAAAGTCTTAATAAGGAACACAGCAAAAACACAGACTTTTAAAAAGCATTTAAGAAATGTGACTTGATAAGATTGGGGTGGGGGGGTTGGTTTTGAGCTTCTAAAATTGTCTTTCATTTCTAAACTTACTCCCTCTCCATGAATACAATTCTCAAATACTTTATAGAACCCCGAGACAGAAGGGCTGTTGAATTAGTTGGTAAGTATTTATGAAGTGCCTAACAGTCAACCACTCACATGTGGCTCACATAGAATTAGGGGTTCCTCCCCTGGCCTGTGTGCAGTTGAATTCTATGTTTGCAAGTTAAAAGAAACAAAACATAAAAGAATCTTGGTTCTTGTTTAATTACATCCTAATTTCCTCAGCACAAAGATTAATTCAGTGTTTAGGCTATTACAATAATGTAACAGATAATTTAGGGATCTATTTGCTTTTTTCGAAGAAGCAGCAATCCTGGAGAGTCATGGGATAGATGTACAGAGTCCAGGAGGCCATTCCAACAGTGATGATGTTGACGGAAATGACTACTCAGAGCAGGTGAGCAGCCAAGAGCAGAGGTTCTTGGTTATAGAGCGGGTGGGACAGTATGACAAGTCAATTCTGTGGGTGTGTTTTGTACGGGGTGGGGGAAAGGAGACAATCCAATGTCCCTCTACTCTGCTCATGTGTGTAGTTAGATTTTCATGTAATTTGAAAGGAATGTGCTAAGATTCAGTTGTCCTGTTAAATTTGTGAGAAACTGTTATTCACCCACATGGATTTATTGTCATACAACAGGATACTTGGCAAGTACGCAATGGGGAGGAGGAGGAGGGAAGAAGTTCAGAGGGAGGCAGAGAAGCAGAGAAGGTAGAAGAAGAGAGGAGGATCTGATCCAAACAAGCAAGTTACACCATCCACCACACACACACTCAATGTTTGAGAAATACTAGGGGCTACTGGGTAGCTGTAATCCATGCCTAAACATGTATCAATGCAGCACACAGTGGAAGGTCCCACCCACCACGGCCCCATTGCAGGGAGAACCCTCATGCCCAGATGAGTGGTTCTTCCAGAGTCTCTGGCACATTGACACACACATCCTTTCATAAATGCATGTCTTCTCAACTCACCCTGACTTAGTCTTCATTGCTTGAGGGGAAAAATATATTTAATTGTAGCCACTGGATGGAATAATTCAGTAACTAAGAACATGGGAATTCCACCCACCTCCCCACCCCGCATATCTCGTGACAAATTTCATTAATATTGTCATAGGACTTAAAATTCATTTCTGTTTGGAATGTGAAAAGAATGTATGATCTCTACTGGACGCCAGCAGGAAAACTTGTTCTTTCCTACCATGTATATATACCTCTTCCTCGACCCTCAGCCAACTCTTAAATGTAGTCCACTGTGTTCTTCCTTCGGCCAGCCATTTTACAATCTCTGCTTACCAGCTTGATTGCAAATGCCGCAAGAGTGCACACAACCCCATGCTGAGCCCTTTTTAAACCCCGAAGACCTGTCTGTGAAAATGGGAATGCAACAATGATGTCCATAATTCCCCTGGGAATTACCTTTTCTCTTGGTAGGATTCCAAATCATAGCTCCACATTTTACTCAAGAAAATACTCTGTCCTTCTAATCAGAAACATTCCTGTTATTTTTCGATCTACCAATGTAGGTGGATCATTTCCACTGCGTTTTCCAGATGCCCTAAGGGTAGCACATCCCATGATTTTTTTTCTAAAGGGGCTTACCCTTTCCAAAGCTTTTTAATGCAGAGTTCCCCTGAAGATGTGACAGGTGAGAAACTTACCCCTCATTTGTAACACCATCTTCAGTGCCTGACAAACATCCTGCAATGCCAGTTTCCTTCACAGCTTTATTGTTTAACACATTGAGCTGTGCAGGGAAGGAGCACTTCACACTCTCGCTAAAATACGACACCTGCCATTTCCCTGGCACAGCAGCCTTACAGCAGGAGAGCACCACACATTTTCTCCCAGAGCCATTTCTGGCTCTTATACTTTTGTCCTGTTGTAATTGAGAGTTTTTTGGGTTTGTTCTTTTATAAAAATGCATTTTTACCCATTAGATATTGGTGTCTGTAGTTTAGTCTAATTTTTTCGGCTCAGTAGAGAGATGCCATGAGGTCTGGTAATCTCTTTGTAAGAGTACCAATCCAGAATTTAATAGCTCACTAATTCGGCCTTCAATGACTAGTGCTATGTTCATTGCAAACCTAGAATGATCAGGTTTGATTATCATCACCAGCAGCCCTTCGGATAGAAGGAATAAAATTCTCAGAAAAAACATTTTGGTACTTTTTATTTGTTGAATCATAAAAATGTCAGTTGGAAATCTGGACCTATTTCCATTCAGTGGCTACTTAAATACATTCACCTCTACTATGTCATGAGCCCCTCCCCCACTGTTTCCTCCCACGAATGTTCTGCCCCCCTTGCCTTCAGCATGCCTCTCTGTGAGTTGGAGAATTTTACCAGTCCACTAATAACATTTGTTTCTTATTTCTGCACATCTAGGATGACAGCACTAGCCATAGTGACCACCAAGACCCCATCTCATTAGCTGTGGAAATGGCAGCAGTCAACCACACTATCTTGGCATTGGCCCGACAAGGAGCCAACGAAATCAAGACAGAGGCCCTGGATGACGACTGAGCAGGGAGGGTTGAACAGGAGAAGTTAACTTAGTTTAGACGTAGCACCTTAGCAGACTTTCCTCGGTCCTTAACATGTGTTCTTACAGTATAACTTGCAGTTTCTTGTATGTCAGTTAGCCGTTAGGGTCTTGTTCTGTGAAGATGGCATGGTGCCCTCAGCCTTTGCATATACTCTCTCAGTATTAATTCCCAGTAAATAATAACCAACCAACCAACCAAACTTCCCTCTCCCAGCCCCCAAGGCTAGAATATCTTGCTGCTCTGTCTTAGCATTCCAAGAAAGTGCTTCCAGGTATTTAGATAGCCCTCAGTTCTCCAATATTAGGCTACGTGTAAAACCTTGGGTACCTTTAGATTCCTGTAACACTAGTCTGTACCTTTTTCCTTCCCCAAGACTGATAGGATGCAAGCTGAGGTAGTGTGGCCCAGGATTGACAGACACCATTTGGGGAGTGTCCACAGAGTAAAAGGAACACTAGAATTCCCACTCAGGGTGGGAGTAATTGATTTCCAGCTGCAATAAGCCGTGCCTCATAATAGTCACACTGTGGCTAGATTATACTTCTTTGGGTGCTGTGCTAAGAATGTCCATGGAAAAACTTGATCTCAAATTTTGGTTGATGTTAACATGCCTGACACAGACATCCTTTCCTCTCACAAGCTGTGTGACTTAGTAGATAAAATACTGCCTTCTGCCTTTGGGACCATGATTCAAACAAAAAAAAGACAAAAAACAAAAGTCATTAAAAAAAAAAAAAACCCAGCTTGAGAGCATTGGAAAAAAACATGAGCTGAATGTCTAATGGATGTTAAGTCCAGTTCTCAGAACCACTGTACATTACGTGGCACAGGTGTGTGCCTGCCTGGAAAAGTGCTGGAGGCCATCATGGAAGCTGCTCTGCCTCCTGTTTATGTCCCCTTTCCCTGCTACCAAAAAAAGTCAAGGATGGAGCTAAGGTCACAAATGACTGAATGAACTTCCAGTCTTTGTATCCATTTACTGAAGCCCCCTCAATATGAGAGGTTGATAGAGGACTTTATAGTGGGATTATGCTGACTGACTATCACAAATGCAAATACTTTCCTAAACAGGAGCAGAAAAAGCAGGGGACAATTGCCACTTACGTGGCGGGTCTTCAAGATACAACGTGATGTGACTGCTTTGGTGTTCTCTTTACTCTGTCCTTGTAGAGGTGTGAAAAGCTATATTGCTACAGGCAATTTATTTAATAATTGGAAGCCATATTGATAATGGATGTGGTAATATTTGTAAAGTTTAATCTACTTTAAGCGGCAGTAACTAATGGAATTTTTTTCCTTGATCACATATGTAGCACTTTTGTTACTTTTTAAAGATATTTATATTTGATAAATCTTTTTTTCATTTTGAGAACTCAAAATACCAAACAGTGAACTTGCGTTATAAAGTCACCCTGTGATCACCTTGTCATCTAGTAGCAAAATGATGAACTATTCATGCATCAAAGAAAATTACATCTGCTGGCCTTGTATGAAAATGATCTCTTGGCATCCCGATTAAATGACACACTGTCACTGTGGGGAAGAGGAAACCACCTTCGATGTAGCGGCGTAGGGTGCGTCTGAAGGAGGCATGACTGCTGTATACTTTCTGCTTCATTCCATCTCTCCTTCCTACGCACGGTGAAGCCTTGCGGGGCTGGCTATTCAACAGGGCTTCTGTCCTGTCATCCATTACCTGAGAACGATTTCTAAGATGGAAGGAAGGTGCCATTTCCTTACCTCTTCCCCCCTCCTCCCCCACCAAATGTATTCAGCCTAAAATCATTGAGGGAGAGAAACTGACTGACCTTTGTTTTGCCCTTCCTCATTAGTGAGATATTAAATTAAATACCCACCAGTTTTTAGCTGGTCTGACTCCACTTAAGGCACGTGCTGACAAGTGCTTCTCTGTATCTGTTCATCCTCCTTAGGCCAGTGCGTGGAAGCCTTCAAGAGGGTACAAAGATGCTGCCTTATATGGGTCTGTGACTTTAAAGAGCTGTAGGCAGGGACTGGGCCTGCTCTTGTCTGTGGATTTCAGGCAGAAAGTGTATGTGCTTCTTCCAGCTTCCAAGAACTGAAGAAAAATGGGGTAGTCTTTTCTGTTTTACTGTATTACTTGAACCAACCAATTCAAGAGTAGCATTTGTTATTCTCAGGAATGATCCCCCTGCTCATTTTCTTTCCTAGTGTGTTAGACTTTTTATTTCAATTAGGAGATTATGTTATCTTTCTTTCCTTTTATATTACGTAGAAGAAATATAACATGTTGTATCTTTCCATTTCGGTGGAATTTTGTCTGCTTATTCTCAGTTGACTCAAAGAAAAGAAGTGAGAAAACTATACTGTCTGACAAGCCACATCCATGATTTATTGTAAGGAGATTATTATAATTGATAGCTTCTTTATGATGGGATTGTCAGTATCATTTGTTCTTGCTGGTCTTTTTAAAGAAACAGACTCAAACTGTTAGGACAGCTGCAGTTTCTAAAGAAATACAGTGATTGCCAGAGACGAGCTAAAAGGTTTCATTGTTTTAAGGCCTTAGGGATGGGGAAAAGCTTCAGAGAATAAAGGAGAGTCGGTATCCATGAAAGCAGTACAGGGCCCTATCTGGCAACCTGGAAAAAAGTGAAAGAACATGTCTACTGATGCAAGATGGCTTCATACTGGGTTCAGTAGGAACAGGAAGAAGGAATCTTTCATCCAGAAATCTTCTTTTAATTGAAGAAGACCGCTGGCCTGCTCTTAAGACCCACTGCCTTACATATAACTTTTGCTTTTTCACCAAGAGCAAAGATATAGTTCTTTGGGGCCTAGATTTAAATCTACCATTGTTGATTTGTTTTTTTGGGTTTTTTTGGTTTTGGGGTTTTTTTTGCCACCAGGTTGAATTCAGCTGTCTTGTCCAGGTTACCTTAGTTCTTATAATGGTGTATACAGTTGCCACTGTCTAATTTGTGATGTCTTTGGATAGTGAATTTGTTTTCTTAAGCTTTTTCAGGTTTGGTGGTCTTTAAATAGGAACCCTAAACTGCTCTCTTACTGAAGGGAAAGAGCCAGGCTCTGAAAAAATCCTGTTGTGTGCTCTCTGGTTGTTGTGTCCCTCTTCTCTGGCCCCATAGTGTACCTCCCTCAGGCCCCAGAGGACTTTCAGGACTGCTCTTCCATAGTGAGGAAGACTGAAAGTGGGGATGGGGAACCTTGTCAGCAGTTCTTGTAACTTGTCTGTTATTTTTCAAGGTCACTTTCATTGAATTACTGTAGTCATGTGGGTAAACTTCCTACTCTTCTTACAATACAGCCTTACAAAGGGACCTTCGAAAGATGGACCATCCAAGTGAGATTTCTACCTTGCTTTTGATAACTCTAACATAGATTGAAGGCCAAGGAGGGCAGTAGGGTACACTCTTAGCTGAGACCTTCTGGTACCAGTCAGTACTAAATAGACATTTTGGTTTATTTCAGCAAAGCTTGTAATTAATTGTTGAGTACCCCTTAGGGCAATTTTCTTCACAGTCTGAATCCTTTAAGTGGTTGGTCAGTGTGGTCACCTTCCACCTACCTATGGAATCTGTCTAGTTCCCATACATTGGCCTTGGGTGGGACAGACACCCCCCACCCCTGGCACCACATCCTCCTGTTATTCCTTAACAGGAAGAAAATTCCTGGAACAGGAAGATCCCTTTAAGGTACTTTTCACTCTAGCTCAGTCATTAGAGGTGACCACTTAAAAAAAATGTGAGTGAGGAAGCAGCAGCTCGTCACCACTGAAGTGTACAAATCCAATACCTGAGTTCCTGGCAGATTTAGGATGGCAAGCAGTCCAGTGACCAACAGTACCACTGTTGGAGCCAGCTGTCCGCATATATTTTTACCTCAAAGGGGACAACTCATGAAGAGCTCCTCCATATACTTTCAGTTCTCCCTGTTTGGCCTTTGTCTTCACACTTCCCTCCTGGATTCCAACCATCAGGCATGAAGTGTAAATAGGCTTATTTCATTTGGCATCTCCAGTTGCATCCTCTCCGTCTGTGAATAGCTCCTCTTCCATTTGCCTCTGGTCTCCAATACTAAGGCCTCATCAGGAGCTGACATTTTTGCTGGGATTTTTACCTTCCACAGTAGGCAGAGTAGGTGGGTGTGGTCCATCTCTTCACACAAACACTCCTTTCTGTCTTGCAGGCCATCATTTTGACCAGCTACATATTCCACTGACCAGCTGCATTGTCTCTGCCCATAACAGTGGAAATCATCCCTTTTCATACACGATCCTCCCACCCCTGTCCTAAAAATGTGAACTTCAAGTCCTTACTCTCTTGGTCTTAAGGGTTTGGGTAGAAACAGTCTTCCCATTTAACTTGTGGCTCTGTCTTTTAAAATTGCTTTTTGTCTTTTCTCGTTTAGAGAACAACCAGAGTATTTTTTCCCCAATGAGTCTCAACAGATTCTTAGGCAATAATTTTTCTTGTTACTGATGATCTTGTGCTCAGTAGCACTCTACACTGAATAGTCCTGACCCTTCACATTGTGCGTTGGTTTTCTGTGTTAATCTCTGTCTGTGATTTAAATCTTAGGTCAGAGTGGTGATAGATTTTGTCATTTTGTTGTTGTGATTATTAGTAATGTTTTACTACTGTATTTGTTGGGGCTGCAGTGAGACCAGCCAAATCCATTTATAGCTTTACTGAGCCGGATTTGTTTATCAAGATTTCCCAAGCAAAAGTTGGGCACGCTGACCAGCTCTGCTGGTGGCGTCTCTATGGGGCATAGGGGTGGGGTGGGGGCTGCGCTGGGGCAGGGGTGTGAATTACACATTTAAAACATTCCTTTTTGCATGCCCTCTAAATAGCAAGGATGTTTACTCAGGATTCGGGGATCAGTTTTCAGCCATACCGAATTTGGCTGAGCTGCATGCCCTGAAAACTCTCTTCCTGTTTCTTAATTTCTGGACTGTCTAATTTACATTACTTAGTGACACCTAAGTTTTCCAGTTTGAAGGTATTGCACCATAATGAGAACACTAGGTTTTCCCAGGGAGGCAACTATAAGTGGCCAGGTTATCCTATAAGGATTTCCCTGACCGAAGCTTGTTGTCAAAGCAGAGGCCCTTTCTTTTCTGGCATTGCTGTCTGCTTCAGTATATGCTCTTCTTTTCAAATGATGACTACCACTTAAGAGGGAAGATTTCTTTACCACTCTCAGGAGAACTACCATACTGAGGTTGTGAGAAAGGCTTTTTAAATACATTGAGCCTACAACTCCCTTTTCTGATTACAGAAACTCATCTCACAGACAGGTTATGTTCAGAAAGGCTGCTCTTAATTCTCTTTACTTACAAGCTAAAAGTGATTAAGCTACTTCTTTTGCCATTGATGGTTGACTCACTCACTCTGAAGGGCAACTTTGTTCCTACCTGTGGACATTCAAAAGCTGGAAGTTCATAAACTGCGAGGTTTCTACATCAGCTTCATTATTCTTTCTTGGTGGAGAGGAGAAGCACCAGCAAAGAGAAGGCTAATGATCTGAGGAATCCAGTTTCCTATGACATTAGTTTTCCTTTGTAATTAAGAGGGGAGTTAATATAGTAGAGAGGAGAGAGAAACTCTGGCCACAGCAGATGATCTTACACCCTGTTTTTATCATCACCCAAGGACTTTGACATGGCTAACAAATATGCAGATCACTGGACTTCTTTTTTAGCATGCTTTACATAACACCTGGGGCCAAGCAGTGAGCAGAACTAAATCTAGTCAGTTCCATTCAAGTGAAGTCTAAGTAGCATTTTACCCTACTGACCACTAACCACCCACATTCCACACCCATTAGCTCATTAGCTAGCACAGGGCCCTAACAGCAAACAAGGATGCATCTATAGGAGGCTTTGCCGTGCTCTCCTGACGTCCTTTTTACTTGGCAAGTTTGGGGATTGATTTGGACAACAGTACTGTGCCCTCCTGTCCATGGGTGTCTGAGCCCCATGGTGCAGTGGCATGGGGCAGCTGTTGAGCATGTGTGGTCCCAGGGCTGCCGGACACTGACCTGAGGAGGGTGTGCACACAGCTAGCTCCCAGTTCAGACATCTCGGGGTGCCGCTCCCTTAATTCCATTTGCATTTTCTCTCTCTTTTAATGAAAGTGGCTCTGTACAGCCATAATTAACTCTCAAATTCACATTGGTGTGCTGTGATCAAATGAAGGTTTGGCTGAATCCTTTCAAATTGTAACCATGGTAATTGAGGGGGGTGGCACAGAATGAATATATAAAAATATAATGACAATTGTTCTGAATGACTGAGTGTCCTCCTGACATGTAATTAGCTGTTTTAGCAAGATGTAGATTGGCATGGTCATAATTAAAAGGATTTCTGTCCTTTATGTGATTGAAAATGGCAGATCTCCCATTCCCTGTTCCCTTTTAGCACTTAATGCTCCCAAGAACATTTGGAACAGCAACTCAGTAAACTAAAATAATGACATGGTGTTCATGTCCTCTCCTTAGTGAAAGAGAACGATTTGGAGTTATTTCAACCTCAAAATGGAAGCCTTTGCTATTGGTCCCCATTTGACTTCTACATTATTTGAAACCTCTGTCTCACATCCAATTCAACCTGCTGCACCTTTGGCAGAAACTACAGTCAGAATCCCAAACCGAGTCAGCCCCTGCCTGACAAGGCCTCCGCGACTCTGTCCCACTCCTTAGACAGCCAGTGTATTATGTGGCCTAACTTGAGGATGTTGACTACTTAACAAGCTCCCCGGGGTTTTAATAATTCTTTCCCTGGTTACTTGATATCTCCACTGTTGTCACCATCAGCAAGTGTCAAATGGGATCTTACACATTTTCTTCATTGGATCGTATGATGTGTGGCAGACACGACACAAACACATAAGGGCTTTCAACCACGTGGCATAATTGGAGTGCTGATATTTGCAGTGTCCTGAAGTAACTAGGTGCACATGAGTCCCCCACACCACTCTTACATGGGCAACTACAACTTTTTTGTATGCAGCCTTTTGTTATCCAGAGTTCCTCTGTTCTGAGTCGGTGGGATTATCTCCCTAGCTATTCCAAGTCTTTTCTCCCTAACACTTTTCTTCCTTTCTTTTCATCTACCAGTGTCTCACCAACTGAGCATCAGGTGGTCTTGACACCTTGCCTTACACGGTCTCCTGCCCAGAATGTCTGTTCTTCTCCCCACCAGGGCCTCCCACCAGATGGGAGCTATTGTGTCTTGATCTAGCCTTTCTCTAGAACATGCTTTGCTTTTTCCATCACTTGTAGAGGCCTTCATTCAGTTATATCAAGAGTAAGTCTGCGCAAATACCAGCACCCACATAATGCCACATGGCCCCTCCAGCTGCTTCATTCCTGTGTGACTCCTCCTACCTTTGCTCGTGAGCCTGGCCTGTGAGCCCTTTCTTTGTTCAGGGCTGGACACTTCAGGATTAGTTAGTAACCACTGAGAAAATGTGGCTCTTACTTTTGTTCATGTTTTGCTGCTTATCCTCATACAGCCCTTTCCTCCTCAGTATGTATCAGAAAGGATCCTAACCAAATGCTAAACTTTAGTTTGATGAAAATTCTGAGGTAGGCTGCTTCTCTCTGACTGTTCTCTCCACCTGTCCACAAACACACAGAATTTGGGAAAAAGTTCTATCTTGGGGTTCTTCATTCTTGTTCCCCTCAAAAATACCTCCAAATGTGTTATAGTCGGACTAAATGAGGAAAAATACCATCAAAAGGTCTTACCCAGTGCTTCTCTTCCTATATGATCTAAAAGCAACTTTCAGCCCTACCCCCAAACACCCGCTTTCAAGATACATGTGCTGTCATTGAGACTTTTCTGTGGGACCCTGCAGTTTGATGACATTTGGAATGATTGTGGATTTATGACCCCAAAGAGCAGAGTATCCCATCCCTTATTTTCCCGGCTGCTGAAAGATAACTATCTCCATTACAATTGAGAATCTGTGTTTAGATTTGCAATTCTGAGAACTGACTAGATGAGTATAATTCTGTGTTTTGTGAGACATGCATTAAAACAGCCAGCAGAACATTCTGATTATCTGCTTACATTCAAAGAAAATAGAATTATCACTACAGTTAAAACCTTCTAACACAATCTACCATTTTAAGGATCAAAGTATTAGATGTGCAGCTTAGGGAATGATGCTAATAAAAAAAAACTGGAGTTGGCAAGATGTCTCCCTCTGCAGGTGTTTCCAGAGGCCACCTCGGTGATTCAAAACCCCCTCCACCATAAATGCCAGTACCACCAGCATCTCCCACTAAATAGAAAAAAGAAAGCCAACTCACCAAAATCCATGAAAACATAGGTAGTACCTCCCCATTAAATACCTATTTTTTTGGAAGAAAACACCAGAAGTTACTCTTCCAAGAACACAAGAGTAAAGATGTCATTCTAAATCATAATGCAACAAGAGACAAACCTTCAGACCTCTTGAGGCATTCAAAAGTCATGATAATAGCAGCTGACATTTATTGAGCATGTACTGTGTGCCAGGAACTGTGCTGAGCGCTCTTACTACTGTCTTGTTTTCTTGAAGATACACAGACCCTACACAGCAGTACCACCTTAATGGATTCAAGTGAAATATCCAGTCGCTTCTTTCATCTTAGTAGGATGTTAATTGGAGAACGGGCCACAGAGTCTGCCTGGCATTGCTCTGAATGAAATCACTTCTTTTAACCTGTTTGTTTTCTCACACAACCACACTAGTTGATTCCCACCCACACACTGTCCCAGTGCTGTCATCTCTCCGTGCCCTTCATTCCATCTGACACTGAACTGGTGTTACCATGATGATCTAGACACAAGAGCATTCCCCTTGGCCCTTCTCCTTGCCTAGTGATAGGGATAGAAAGGCAGGGACCTCAAGGAGGCTCCACAGCTGTGATGTGAAACCTCATTTCAAGCATCCTGTCTCCAGAAGCCAAATATGAGGTCCTGCCTTTCTGGGGGGAAGAAACCATGACTGTCTCATCTGTGTTTTGAGAAGAAGAATTTACTGGCACTTCTTGGGTGTAGTTCCAGTTAGATGAGGCAGAGAATGTTAAAAATCTCACACACTTCCTGTTTTTCTCTCTCTCCAGCACTTCAAGCATTTTCGTAGTGCCTATTACTTTTAACATCCTGCTTCTGTATAGAAGTGTTTAGCTAAGCCATCCCAACTCATTCTGCTGTCATGTCCATCACAGTCATGAAAGGCAGCGGGGTTGAGGCAGTACTTGTGGAGATTCTGGAACTTGTATTCTTGTCTGCCCTGCATGGAGACAGGTGCCGATTCGGACTCAGCATAAGAACTTTCTAATAACCCCAGTCTGGCACAGGGATGAGCTGCCTCAGGGTTCAGGTGGCAGCTCAGTGACTACTGTTGGGCACAGGCTTCAAGCTGACCTGAGGATGGGACTGAAATCCCATGTTTCTCTTCCTCGCTTCTCTAGTTCTTTTCCTCTTGCAAGTAAGTGGTCCTCAGGGGTTGGCTGTTCCTCTCACTCTTCTCATCCATTCTATTGTGTCCTCAGCATCCTAGGAGCCCAAGAGAGTGGAGTCCACCCAGGAGGAAGGCCCCAGTTGGCGTGACCTGGTGAGCGGATCCACCAGCTTGACTCCTTGGAATTGGCCTCTGTAATAGGTACCTTGTTTCATTAGCTGGCTAATGGGGTCTTTGATTATCTATTACCCCCACCAAAAAAAAAAAATGTGAAGGGAACAAGGTATGTGTGCCTTCTGTTTAGC